GTGGTTTCACGCTTTAGGAATTAGTTAGGCCAAGAAACATGTGACTTCACCACAATTGCATTCTGTTTGATGCATAAAATGATTGAGCCAGACGAAAGAAAAATGGTTAATAGACTGAGAATAGTAAGTTCAATTTCCTGTTTCGTCTGAGATCTGATATTGGAAAGTTCCTCGTGTTATTTGCCGTGATTCTCGATGAGAGAAGGAACAGGGGCATAGTTTTTGCTAATCTGGAGATCTTGATAACGAAGGTTCAGCTGTTTCAAGCGTATCATATTGAAAATAGCTTTGGAAAGGATGCACGGAATGCTGTATCATACCGGTTGCCGATTGATCAACAAAGATGACTCGTTACTACTGTCGACGGACTTATCTCGAGCTACATGGTAGCATTTTTATCGCGATCTTATCGATCAGATATTTATTGTGCAGGAAGAGTACATGTACAAGAACATCTCACTGCGGATTTCGTTGAATTATCTTATTTTATTCGATTTCTAGAATTCGATTGCGTTTCTTTGTTATTACACATCGTTGTAATTATTATTTATAACGCGAACGAGATGCGTCAGGCTCTCTTTCATTCCGATCTGATGGAATGATAACTGAATTGGATTTATGTTTCAATACACACTATCGTTCACAGGTTACACGATGCAGAAGTTCAATCATACACGAACATAAAGTACAAATATGAAGGATATTAGTATAATAATATATGTATCGATAACTGTCACATTTTCTGAATTTCTGTACCGTATTATAATTTACAACATTAATTCATACTCTTTTACAGTTTTAGCTAAACTATATTTTAACAAATGCGATCAAATCTTTGAGTAGTGTATTTGAAGAAATTATTAGCTATAATTTTCACTAAACTCTTGATATAAACTCTTTACATAAAATAAAGTGGATTTTATTAATGCTACACTTTCAGTTAGATAATCACTCTACTAATATTCTAACACACATCTATTTAAATGTGATATAATTCACAATAGTTTAATCTTGTAAATAGTAATGTCATTTATAAATGAGAAGAGTTCCTAATACACATGTTAATAATACTTAACTGTATCACACTGCATATGTGACACAAATCAAAAATGCTATTCAATTAAAAAACTGAGGGTTGTAAAAACATATTATATCGATCAGTTATGAAAATCTTATTCATGTAACTTCGAAATTTGGCCGGCAGAGAGCAGAAGTGGCGCTTTTCCTGATTCATATCACTTTTCTGCGTCTTGCAATATAAATACTTATACATGATTTATTATTATAACAATAATTATAATGAATAAACATAGAAGTGAATATACAAACATATGTGTATCATATATTGTTAATTTTGTCGTTACTTTAATATTACCTAGTTAATTAACATTTTAGACATAAAAGTTTAATATTTGTTTAATACTGTCTAGTTATATTTTAACATTATTTTAATATTATCTAGTCATAATCAAAAACAGTCTTTCATTACTTTTGACGCTTTTATGTGTTACTTTTGAAATATATGTATAATATCCTTTTTATTTTCATAGATGTTTTCATAGATCCTTAATTCAGTTTTATACAATTAGACGAATATGATTCATCAGTCTGAAGAACATAGTAAAATCAACAGATGCATCAAGTGACAGTAAAAGTGAAAATAAAATGGACAGTAATTTTGGTAGCAATAGTAACTTCCTTCCTAACGAATCTCATAAGAAAGTTTTCCTTTTTTCTAATATAGATAATAATGCTAGATCATCTTGAAGAAAGTGTAAAAAACACATATCAACATTTTCAGAAAGCTTTCGTTTAATGAATTATTTACATTACTTTGAATATCGACATATTTCAAATATTTTTCTAACAAATGCAAAAGCCAAAGCAAAATTACTTATATATGCCTACAATGTATTACAAAATGAATAACAAAAGTAATAAATTTACATTCAGTAACATTACATAACTAAACTTATTATATCATCTAATATACATACAGGTTGTATATTTGCATGAGCTGCCACTATTGATGGACTTAAGCAAACATGTAGCATATCATTTGTTTTTTGTGCAACTTATTATTAAAGACACTGAAATGGCTACCTGTCCTTGTTATGCTCTTGTAGCTAGAAATCTAACTTCCAAATCACTATGATTTGTCAATAAGAACGCAAACAGGTTACTTCTATAAATCTTTCAATGGATATGTATTCATGTTTCGAGCATGTAGAAAATTGTAATTCAGTTGTCTACAGTTAAGGAATAAAAATCAGATCATTGTTTAAAAATCGTCGATGTTATACATATTGCAATCGCTCAAGATCAACGTGAAGATTGCACCAAAAAATTGTGGTTCCTTCTTAGATATCACATAAGAATTGGGTGTCCGCGCTAAAGTAAACCGCGATCTATCCGTAGAAACTTACCAATGGCGCCGGAAATCCATCCCATGCACGGCATCGAAGTCACTGCAGTTTCAAACTTCCAATGACGAAGTCACCACAGTTGTTCGACAGCGATACATAAATATATGCACAGAACGTATCTCATTTTGTTCGGATTTTCCGTGGATGTCTTTACGACGAAGATCGTTACACAGTCCATCAAGGACCAATAAATAACCGTTTCACGCATCGATTCATTTTTATTGCACTGAACCACGCACCTGTGAAGATCGACGATTTGATTCCCTGGTCCTTTCTCCGTCGTTCTCCGACCGGAGGAAGAAAGACGCAGGAACAAAAAAATAATGAAACACGACTACGTCGATCGCCCACGTGCCGTACACTCATTTCAACCGGTCGTTTTTCGTAACCCGCGACGTGAATGACCCGTGACAAACTCGCGCGAGTTGGCTGCGCGCGTACCGGTTCGTTTATGAAACCCGACACCTTTGGCATTAAAACCGCATTATACGTTTCTCGAGTAGCAGATCTCCCGACGAAGTACGCGGTGGAACCGGAAGCTCAACACCTGTCAGGCGGTGATCGGGTGGACACGCGTTTCGATCGAGCCTCCGTTATCCTCGATACGTTGATCTCCATGCAGGTGAGCTCTCTTGACGTGAAAATGAGCCGCTGTGAACAACGCTTTGAGTGACGCTCCGTTCTCTCGCGAGGCGGTTAATTATACAGGGACTCGGATCGAACGAGAGGAAAAAGAACGAAGGGTAGGATCGTTGAAAATAGATAAGATGACTCGCAACAGCTTCCAGCAAATCGACATTCCAATTGGCCAGGGTGCACGAGGGTCCACACCTCGATATTACGCTTCGACGAACGTTTGTTTATCGATCGAGCTATACATGCTCCGAAGCGGCCTTTCTCTCACGTTCTCGACTCGCAGGAAGTTGCCGATTCTTCCTTTTTTCCTCTCGTCTCTGTTACTCATTCTCCTTCGGCCTCGTTCCTTCTTTTTAAACCTGGCCGTCTATCTTTTTCCTTCGCATCCCGTGCCGCATAATTTCTCTCGCTTCCTCGATCGTGCCCCCCTCATCGCGCTTTGTCTCTCTCTCTCTCGATCCCGCCTGCGCGTGTATGTGTTTGTGCGCAGGGTCTAATAGTCCACTTTGCCGATACGGTGAAAACGCGATTTATCCTCGTCACGCGTCACAACACACGACCGCTCCGAATCGAACTTGTCAGTCAGTCGACGATCTACGGATCCGGTGCAGCACGGAAACACCGAAATGGCCCTGGACACCTGGCACCGAACGATTTCCGTTAACATGCATCCCGCAGTGTCACTGGTCCAAAAGTCACCTCGCTACCACTGTATCCCTAGGAAGTTTCTGTTGCCCTAACGATCCTACGGCCCGATGGCAATTATGCTATATCCTGAATGTGTCGGACACACGAACGAATCCTTTTTTCCTCGACACGATCGCGAGCCGACGAGGTCGAATACCCGAAACCGAGAGCACGAGACGAGGTCTGAAAATCGAGAACCGAGTCTCAGGGTGGTTCGAGGCTCGAGGGATGACCTTGCCCTAGGACAACTCGGTGTTCCTCCTCGTCGGGGCATCAGCGAACGACTGAGGGCTGCAGACGCCGGCCCCCGGAACCGGGGACCCG